TTCTGTCCATCTTCTGTCCATCTTCTGTCCTGGTGTCCATCTTCTGTCCATCTCCTTTCCTGGTGTCCATCCTCTGTCCATCTTCTGTCCATCTTCTGTCCATCTCCTTTCCTGGTGTCCATCCTCTGTCCATCTTCTGTCCATCTTCTGTCCATCTTCTTTCCTGGTGTCCATCCTCTGTCCATTTTCTGTTCATCTTCTGTCCTGGTGTCCATCTTCTGTCCATCTTCTTTCCTGGTGTCCATCCTCTGTCCATCTTCTGTCCATCCTCTGTCCATATTCTGTCCATCTTCTGTCCATCCTCTGTCCATCTTCTGTCCATCTTCTTTCCTGGTGTCCATCCTCTGTCCATCTTCTGTCCATCCTCTGTCCATCCTCTGTCCATCTTCTGTCCATCTTCTGTCCATCTTCTGTCCATCCTCTGTCCATCTTCTGTCGATCTTCTGTCCATCCTCTGTCCATTTTCTGTTCATCTTCTGTCCTGGTGTCCATCTTCTGTCCATCTTCTGTCCTGGTGTCCATCTTCTGTCCATCTTCTATCCTGGTGTCCATCCTCTGTCCTAGTGTCCATCCTCTTTCCATCTTCTGTCCATCCTATAGTTCCTTTTTTCCTCTATGCGACCAAATGCTTCTTTTCCATCTTCTCTCTCAGTTGATGGTCATTTTCTGTGGTTAAGAAGCAAATGAACCTGATTGGATCAGAAGGGAAACAAAGAGTCTGGGAACCAGAATCTGGATCCGGATGTTTCCAGTCAGCTTTCCTGGTCCCTGCTCCTAAAACTGTTCCTGATGTGGTCTCTGGGGGGGGTTCCTGTCCTGGTGGGTTCTGTGTTTTACTTTTGACCGGCAGTTTTCTCTCCTCAAACTCTTCCTCAGCTTCAGCTTTTAGTTTCCTCCTGAGTTCAGACGGGCCCAAATCCACCGGTCAGACCTTTAAATCCCTCCATCAGAACCGTCTAGAGCAGGGGTGTCAAACTCCAAAACACAGAGGGCCAAAATCTCAAACCTGAACAAAGCCGCGGGCCAAGATTGAACAAATGAACCTTTTAATGTGGAATAAAACAAATTTTGCTTTAACATTGAATATGGAACAAAGCAACTCTCATTACATTATATATAACTTAATAGTGGAGACATGCAAAATCCAATTTCAAATAAAAAACACATCAATGGCATTCATTTATGAAAGAAAATTTTAAAACATTTTTCTATTCGCAGCATTCTGAATTAAATATTAAAATTAAATTTGCTTGTGCAGAAAGCTCCAGTTTCCTGCCTTTCTTTTGGTCATTTTTGGGAAGCAGCACAGTGACAGCTGTAGTGTGTAGCTACTGTCACAGAGGACTTTCTGGGTCCTGTTCTGAACAGCAGCAGGGCATTATGGGAGTTGTAGTATGAGCGGTTAATGCACTGTACAGTATAAAGCGTATGCTTCATCCTACTCCTTTTTTAAACATGATGCATGTTTATGAAGCATTCTATGTAAACATTGTTAAATCATATCATGTTTCAAAATAAATTAAATGAAAAATTAAATGAAATGAAATCATTTGGTATTGTCTCGCGGGCCAAATATAATTACAACGCGGGCCAAATCCGGCCCTCGGGCCAGAGTTTGACACCCCTGGTCTAGAGCTAGTTTTCCTAAAACTGGGACACAGACTCTCAGATGGATGTGGAACTGGGGTGTAGTGTGCTGTGTTCTCCACTGGGGGGCAGTGTGGGAGCACGCTGGGCCGTTTGGATCCGGTCAGAGTGGGATCGGGAACTCTTAAACTGCATTTTCGTGAAGCCCCTAACGGAGCCCGACTCTCTTTTGGGGTTTTTCCCTCAGTAGACGTCTAAAAAACTGAGTCCCGGTTCCGTTCAGAGGCCGGTTCCTGCAGATTGAATTGAATTGATTGAATTGAATATACTTTATTGATCTCCAGGGAGAAATAGACTTCAGATGAGCCCTTAAAAAGCTTTTAAAGGACCCTGACAACTGAATAATCCAGATGTTCATCAGGATCCTGACCTGCTGGGCTCTGTTGGCCCCGTTTTGTGTCCTTTTTGGTGATTTCATCCTCATTTTGCTAATTCAGAAACACTCTGAGTACACAACAAAACCAAATCTGAGCAGAAAATCCTTCTTATCTTCTCATATTCTTTATTCTGAACTCCACAACCGGGATAAAAATGCCGTTTGTGGAACGCAGGCTGCAGACGGGAGTCGTTCATTTCAAAGGGATCCACCAAACATCCGAGTTTTACAACTTTTTAGGTTAAAAATCGGACGGGTAAACACAAAGGTTTCCATGGCGATCGGCCATTTTGAAAAACTCTAATGGCCGAGAGGGACATAAAGCACTAGTCTGCCTCTCTAGCTAATCCACAAAGTTTATCCAGAAATAACCAGATCTAGAACACATCACTACTGATTAGCTCAGTTCAGCTTCTCAGTAACATTTGTTGTGCGTCCAGTTGTTAGCTAACGCTAGCTACGACGTAGGCTAGCAATGCTAAGCTACAAACAAAAAAACAAGCTAACAGGGCAACGTGATTCTCTTTTCTTGTTGGAGGAGGAATTACATGCTCACACTAAGGATTCAGAGCAGTTTGTAGTTTGTATTTTCTTTTAAATCCCCAGAGAAAACTCCAGATGTGGAAGTCATGCTATCGCTACTTCCTGAAGCCTGACGGCTAGCGTAGCTGCAACAGCCTCTGAGGAGCCCCGGCCGGTTGTCTGTTGCCGAGCAACGTCACTTCATTACCCCGGCTTTAATAAACATTTCGTGTAGGAGTGCGAGAGTCTTCAGAGAGCCGAAGAAAACAATTAGAGCTGGAGAGGAACCAGGTACAGTGGAGGAAGAGCAAATTGGATCTGGTGTAAAGCAGGGAGCAGCGTTCTGGTCCCGATGAGCCCCCATCTGTCTGTGGGGGGGCCAAAAAAGAGCTGTTACTGTTACCAGTGTATTTTATTAAACTCTGTTAGACTAATAAATGAAAGAAAACAGTAAAGAACATCGATATTTCTGATTAAAACGTCAGATTCTGTTTGTTTCTTGAACAGAAAAAGGAGTTTTAGTGGCTGAATGTTCTCAGAGAAGCTCAGAGATTCGATAAAAAATAGGATAACTGGGTTTGGGATCCTGATGAGCTGAAAATAGAGAAACACGGACACACAACGAACAGAAAAAGAACTAAATAAGTCTACAAGAACGTATAAATAACCATTAAATGGACAAAATATCCAAAAAGGAATTAGACACAATTAAATATTAAACAAATCTACAAAATGACACAAAACCGGTCTCCTCCCCCGTCAGTTCCCACAGTGCTGAAGCTGTCTGGTTTCTCCTCTGTCTGGTTTTCCACAGCCTCTGTCTGGTTTCCCACAGCATCTGTCTGGTTTCTCCTCTGTCTGTTTTCTCACGGCCTCTGTCTGGTTTCTCCTCTCTCGGGTTTCTCCATGAAAATTCATGTTAAAATTAGGTTAGCTCTTATTCCCTGTAACGTCTAAGTGGATCTGGGCTGTTAGTCGGTGTCTGTTGTTGGTTGCGATTCACACTCAGTCTGTGTGTGTCCGGCGTCCTTAAAGACAACCAGAGTGCGTCGGTTTGAGCCATAAACTTTAATGGAAGCGTTCCAAAGAGTGGCTTTAACTAGAACTCGCCCTTATGGGGACACTGGGACTGAGTTTAAGGGCCAGAAGTCCTTTAATAGCATACGCTGTGTGTTTATCTGGTAATGTTTGATCCACCGAAACAGCAGAAAACTATGTGGAATCGAATATTTGGTATTTCTGTGCTTCGTTATTACTGAATTCAGATTCCCCTGCATGGCTTTGTTAACCCGATTCTTTAGTTGGAAACCTGAGAACAAACCAGAGTAGATCAAAAGTACAAAAATAACATTTATTGGACATAGCTAATGCTATACACTATGCTAAAGTGAGTAATTCTAGCCAAATTCTAACAAGGATAAAGGCTTACAGCCAGAGACTTTAACACAAAATATAGTTCTATAAGGAATAAAACTATCAGTAATTTACATAGATCATGCTATAGCTAATGCTATGCTATATCTAATGCTATGCTATAGCTAGTGCTATACACTATGCTAAAGTGAGTAATTATAGCCAAATTCTAACAAGGATAAAGACTTACAGCCAGAGACTTTAACACAAAATATAGTTATAAAAGGAATAAAACAATCAGTAATTTATATAGATCATGCTATAGCTAATGCTATGCTATGGCTAATGCTATTCATTATGATAAGTGAGTAATTCCAGCCAAATTCAAACAAGGATAAAGGCTTACAGCCAGAGACTTTAACACAAAATATAGTTATAAAAGGAATAAAAACAATCAGTAATTTATATAGATCATGCTATCCTATAGCTAATGCTATACACTATGCTAAAGTGAGTAATTCTAGCCAAATTCTAACAAGGATAATGGCTTACAGCCAGAGACTTTAACACAAAATATAGTTCTATAAGGAATAAAACTATCAGTAATTTACATAGACCATGCTATAGCTAATGCTATGCTATAGCTAATGCTATACACTATGCTAAAGTGAGTAATTCTAGCCAAATTCTGACAAGGATAAAGGCTTACAGCCAGAGACTTTAACACAAAATATAGTTATAAAAGGAATAAAACAATCAGTAATTTATATAGATCATGCTATAGCTAATGCTATGCTATATCTAATGCTATGCTATAGCTAATGCTATACACTATGCTAAAGTGAGTAATTCTAGCCAAATTCTAACAAGGATAAAGGCTTACAGCCAGAGACTTTAACAAAAAATATAGTTCTATAAGGAATAAAAACAATCAGTAATTTACATAAATCATGCTATAGCATACCAAATGCTAACGGCTCTTAGCAGCTTCCAGTCAAATAAGGGTCCACTGTGGGGGATGAGCACAGCTGGAAATACGGCAGCTTCTCATTTGGTGTCTAATATCCTTTAATGAAATATCTCGCTCACATCAGAGCGTCCTATTAAAATCCTCTCGTACAGGGGGGGGGGGGTCGGGGGGGCGCTGACCTTTATGTGAATGCACAGGAGTGCTAGCTGAATAAAAACGGAGAGAATAAAACATCACTGGTGTCAGGTGAAAATGAGAGGTTAAAAAAAATGTTTTTTTAATCTATTTTCGTTTTTTTTTTCATCTCATGTCTCACAGCAGTGGAACAAAAACTGTCAAAGCAACAAGTCTGAGTTAAAATGAGTTCAAAGTACGATTGTTTTAGTTTCAGTTTATATATGTCAGGTAATTTCTTCCCTTTGCTTCGTGTTCTGCTCAAAATAAACAGGAATCAGTTCATTTTCTTTCTGAAATACCACTTAAATAGACACAAAAGAGGTACAGCTAGCTAAGTAATAGTCCCTCATTGTTATTTTATAGACCAATAAGTGCACAAATATATGAGGAAATGGCATGAATTAACAAAAAAATGTGTCCAAGTGTGAGTTAATGTTGTCAAACTATGTTAAGCTAGCTCTGTTAAGCTAATAATTACAAGCTAACAACAGTCAAGGAGTTGTAATCTAGCCATTGTTA